TGTCAGTAGGTTGATGGTAGGGTAATCAGCAGGTTGATGGTAGGGTGTCAGTAGGTTGATAGTAGGGTGTCCGCAGGTTGATGGTAGGGTGTCAGTAGGTTGATGGTAGGGTGTCAGTAGGTTGATGGTAAGGTGTCAGTACATAGGTTGATGGTAGGGTGCTGTCAGTAAGTTGATAGCAGATAATGTCAGATGTTTGTTGGTCATGTTTTAACAAATTTATAATCATGATTTAATCAAGGTTCTTCAAAAACAAGAGTGTAAGCATTTGTACAGTCGAAAGGAAGGAGAAAAACCAGAGAACAAATCCAAAAATAGATACAAAAACATATTACCCTGTAAGTACAAATATTTTCAATATTTAATTCTTACCATTTTAACCCAAACCCAGAAAGCTTGGTCTTTTGAGTATTTGACTATGAATTGAGAGGTGATGGGTTCATGGGGTAACCTCTTAGGATAACTGAGTTGTGTCATTTCTGAGGAAGAGACTAAAGAATGATTTCCAATGTCCAAGAGTGAACCAATTAACCTCTCTACTCAGCTCTATCTGAATATGGGTGGAAGCATGGGTGGAGTAGTGGTGAGCGCGCTTGCCTCTCACCAATGCAACCCGAGTTCATGTCCTGACAAAGCTCAGTGTCGTTTGTGAGTTGAGTTGTTTGTAAGTTCTCTCCTGCGCTTCGAGGGTTCTCCAGCTTTCCTCCCTCCATAAAAATCAACTTCTAAATTCCAATTGGAATCCAGTGGAAGAAGAGCCACTCTGTGGAATCCACTGTTTATCCCATTACATACACCTATTTCAAAAAAGGTTTTCAGAGCCAAAGAAGATACTAAGGTGATATGTCATTCCATGAATGAAAGGAATTATGGGCATACAACTAACACAATTGAAAAAAACACTTGATATCTCAACACTGACCTCTGTGTTTTTGACGAGAATAATAATAAGAAACACAAGTTATTCCAGCTATCCTTTGGTCTTGGGGGGGCTTCATTATGGGTCAGGGATCAGAGAATGATCCAGTAAATGCCCTCACCATCAAATAAATCCAATTTGTGCTTCAAGGGTTTTTCTCCGGGATCTCTGGTTTCCCTCCCTCCACAAAATTCAACTCCTAGATTCCAATTGGATCACGGAACAAGGGCCACAGGTTTGTTAGCC